ATTAAAAATAATAATTCTTTTGCAAACCCGTGGGCCGGTAGCTTTTCCTTCACGTTAGAAAAGTTGTAAGCGGTTCAATGTTAGGTGGGGTTCACCAAAATTATATTTTCATTAGTCAAGTTTATCGTAAGCAATAAATGCCCATTTTTGAACATTTTCGAAGCCCTTTATATCCTCCAAATCGCATCAATTTGTATATATTTTAAATGTTAATTTTTATATGTATAAATCCTCAACATAACTTATCCCATAATTTTTCATTAGATTAAGCTAAATTCTTCTGAAATGACCTTAATAAATACCATTTCCTAATAACTCTTTTTAAATCTCAATCTTAATGTATGATCACATGCTTTATTTTAATTTATTTTTTAGATAACAGAAACTTTAGTTTATTTTTTGAATAATAAATGCTATGAATTATTTATTTTTTGAATAATAATACCTATTTTGTCGTTGACGTGTAGTGAAAGTAAGTGCCAGCCACGCCCTTCTGTGGCGCACAAATCATAGCAAATTGGATCAATTTAACGCAATTAATGCTTTTTCTTAACTATTCTGAAAGAAAACTTTTCTTTTGTTCTATATGAAATATTTTTGCGGTAGATAGAGTGCCATGTTAAATATGATACAAAATTTAGTATTGAAATAAAAATATATATTATAAAAATACAACTGATTTCAACCTCTTATATTATATATTTTTTACAAGTTACTATAATATGGGTTATACTACTTTTTCAATTACCAACATTTTGTTATGGTTGTTTTGGTTTATTAAAAATTTGCTCGAAATCAGTGTTTTTTCACTGCATCATAAGAAGTTGCTTTTTTTATTATGGATAAATGGGATTAGGGTGTTTTTCATATTTAGCTTTTTGAAATTGTTAATTTTGAGTTACACTTCATATATAATTTTTTTATATAAATAAAACCTTTTTCCTTTTCTTGAATACTTAACAAATTGAAATACTGTTTCGACGTATACCATAAGCCAACAACTCAATGGACTGTTTATGTGTTAGACTAACGTACTACATAGAAAAGTAATGACGAATATCTAAACTTTGAATTTGTTAAGTATTTAAGACTAAAGAAATCCATTAACTACTTACATAAAAAACACACTAATGTATAAAAGACTCAAAACTTTCTTTTAACTATCACACGATCTATTTTCATTTAAAATTATTTCATCTTTAAAAATGAAATAACAAGATTTAAAACTTAATAAAAAATTAAATTTATTCTTCTTTATAGTAGCTTTCTATATATTGAACCTATGTAATAGATCCCCTATGTATTGTATAAGATGATCACCAAATAAAAAACACTAATTAACTCAAAATAATAATATTTAATCATACTTATATTTTTAACTTAAAATTCTAATATATATATATATATATAGGGGTTTGCTAACACGCGTACGCCTGTTTTTCAGTTGGTACATTTTAGCAATGTGTACCGGATTTTAGTAGACAAAAATACCATTATACATGGATTCTAAGTTTTAAGGTTAAGGGTATTTTAATAATTTTCATTCTCAAAACTTAAAAAAAAAAAANGTGGCTGCATTAATCTGTAGATATAATATTTGCAGAAGCATGAAAAGATGGGGTAGCTTCTCCGATAAACAAAGAAAGATGAAAAGAGACTTAAAGTGAATAAGACGGGTTCTTGAAGATTTGCAGGTGTGAAGTTGGTGACAGATAAATTATATGTTATTTCCCTCACCCATTTACCATCTTTGTATGACACACTTATTACTTTTAGATCAATACATAATCCTTTATAATATTTTAGACTCATTATGCATGAACTTTCTTATCTTCGGGGACAACAATTTTCGCATTTCTTAAAACAACATAAATATATCAAATACAATAATGCTTATACTGATAACTTTAATAACTATGGGCATTTTGGTAATCTTTAATTTATACCAATTAAACAAATTTTTAAAAACTGTCACATCAATCAAATCCTACACTAATTCTCACAAACTTTACCTCTAAATCCACTCTCAATTACCTCCAAATCTACTCAAATAAACACAAAAAAATTTACCCTCAAATTCATTCAATCACTCTCCCCCAAATCATCTCCTCCAATCACCCCCAAGTAAACACAGCATAAGTGAACACTAAAGACATTATAAGTCTCTATGTACCTAGTAGTCATTTTTGCAATAGTGAGTTCTATAAATATCTATGTGTAAGTGAATGACGATAATTTCTATGTGTCAAACATAACTGGAAACTCTACGTGAGTTAAGATATACCATAATTTTATGTAAGTTGACACCTTTATGTGAGTTAACTCATATTTTGCATGAACCTTTGATTCTACATGAGTCAGCGACTTTGTGTTGGATATTATTTGATAATATGAATGTGAATAACTTGTGATATATATATATATATTTAAATTGTGGGTTACGTATTTTTATGTTAGTCCACACTTTATTTCATGTGTCTATGTTTGATTAAGATCGTTATAATTTATCACACGAACATACAGTTGTACAAGTACTAAAAAAAACAATACCCAGTAGAGACAAATGTTTTTTTTTGGAATTTTAAAAGAACCATTTTGATTGTAAGTATTTGGTTTAGATGGAATTTTTTATTTTTGAAAAAAAAATGAAAAACTATATAATAAAAAGATTAAAATGCTTTTAGGTTGATTTTTTTGTTATCATTTTATTTCAGGTATATGGTCGAGGATCGTCACAAAACACTCTTTCACATACTTTAAACCGTACAGGTAGGTACTTGTTAAAGATAGTTCGATGCTCGCTCAAGTCAGTCATGTAACCGATAAGAGTCATAGTTCAATCTTAAATTTCGTAATAAATGCAATCCCTTACGTTTCTACCTTTCACTCGTATTTATAGGGCTTGTGATTAACATTTCTATAATTACAACCCAAAACTTAATAAGCAAGACTTACCAATAAACTTGATTAAATGATGTAATTAAGGTTAATTATGGTTACAGACCGACCGACTGAAGGGGACGACTTAGATGATACAATATTGTTATAAAATAAATAACTATATTTAAAATTTTAATTACACAATTTTTTAATAAAAGATATTTCTAACTATAAGAAATGATGATGTGATATTTGTTTCAAGGTAACAGATCGAAGTTAATGTTCAACGTTTAAAGAGTAGGAAAAAGGGTCAAAATTTTGTCTTCATTCTAAGTTATTTTGTAGTCGTTCTTTCAAACCGTTCAAAGAATATCTACATAAGGTACCTCAACCTATATTTATAAATTTCAGAGTGGACTTTCACTTAACAACAACCTAATTACGGTCCAATTACTGGTAATCACACTCTACCCCATTTTGTTTAACACTATAACTAATTGCTTGACATTTAACCCATCTGTTACTATGGGCTCATAGTCGACCGAACGGTAAAGGTGCAAAAGAGTCGGCTGACCGATGATACCTCTCAGGTCAATGAATCGGTCGGTAAAAACAGCCGTTAAGGTAATCAATGGTAATAACTGCCGGGAGTTAATGAAAATAATTGTCATTTATTGACAGTTAAGGTAATCAATGGTAATAACTGTCGGGGAGTTAATGAAAATAATTGTCATTTATTGACAATTCATAACGTCATTCATTGGTGATTAATAAGTCAGACCTAACGGTAAGCTCATTATAATTTATAAATATTTGTCTTAAATAAGGTAACTGGAACTGAACTTAGAAACTCTGATAACTAATCTTGATTACAAGATTATTACGCAAGGTCACTGACTTGAGCGTCAGAGTGTCTTTTGCAGGTACCCTCCCTCACGGCTTGGACAAGGAGAAGAGAGAAGACGCGCAATCGAATGATGGAGCGGACAACTTCGAATATTTTGAATGAAGGTTCTAAATCCTGCTGAAACTCGAATCAAACTCTGTGACCATTCGATCTTAATGGTAAATTCATTTAAGTAACTGAGTAAATTATGAATGAGTAAAATATTAATAATAATGAATATTTTAGTATAATATTTCACTAAATTATTAACTATTGTTATATATTTTTGTTTAATGACTTTCAGGTGAATTTCGTTTAATACATTATCACCTTATCAAAATCTTGCTAACATATGGGAAATTGGCACCATATTACATTTTTGTGTGGTGTAATTAATGGGGGTTAAAAAGTGAGTTCGATTCGTTTATATAGATAATCTTGATTTGTGAGAAAATACAAAAGAATCAAAATTAATTTACAATAATAAATATAATTTTATTATTTCATAAAATATCACTTCATATTTCTTTAAAATTTTATTTCGTTAACGAAACCATTCAAAAATAATATAAACTTGTAACAGAGAAAAGAACTAAAATCACACCATTATTATTATATACTCGAGATCTAAGTAGCACAATTATGAAATTCTCATGTTATTTATGTCATTTGAAAATTCAATTGACGCCATTAAAAAATGGGATTAATTAATCATTAAGAAAAAAACATGGTTAAGCAGAAACAAAAAGATAATTATTTATGCAAAGTGGGTTAATTAAACGGGAGGTCACATCAGCCAGTTGACGATAATGATATGTAAATAACCATTTTCCGAGGCAAACAACATTCGACTTGTCAATTCCACACGACTCCTATCATACACTATACAATGCATCCTAATGTCAAACCTTTTTCTTTTCTTTTATTTTTTCAAGAAAATGAACGAATCAACGGCTCAGAACGCGTACGTTCAAAATCTGGTGGCCTCGTGTCTTATCCGCGGCGCCGTATGTTTCACCCTCAAATTGCACTCTTAACCCTTCCAAGAGATTTTAAATTCTAATTATTTTTGTACAATATTTTATGGTTTTAATTTAAGATTTTAAATTAAGAAAAGGGTGTGATAAAAAAGAGAGTAAATGGCATAATTATGAGAATTAATAACAATAAGGGAAAGTAGTAGCGTGGCGTAGACGGCTTCGAGAAGATACCGAATCATGACCCCATACGGCTAACCTAGAGAGAGAGAGAGAGAGGAGAGAAGGAGGCTCCTTAAAAAGACCGTTTCGCTAACGCGTTACGATAGAGGCACGCGTTTCTTTGCGCTCTGTTTGGTACAAACGGAAACTAGTTTTAAGGAATTCAATACAAGGCCCAAACCGAGAAAAAGCAGAAAGATAAAAAGTTAAAAAATAGAGAGAAGAAGAAGAAGGAGAGAAGCGTATCTGGAATTTTCTTCAGATCGTTGGTGTGTCGTGTGCGCGTGGAGGTTCTTTTCTTTGGGACTTTCCTTCAAATTCTAGATTCCTTCCTTTGTTTCTCTTATAACCACCAACCTCTCCTTTTCCTCCTTTTATTTCTCCCTCCATTTTCCCGTTTTCCGCAGATTCGTTAACCTAATAATCTTTCTCCTCAACGGTAATAATCTATCGCTTTCTTTTTTCCCTTTCTGCGTTTCTTTTCAGGGTTTCGATATCAAATCTCACGTTTCTGACGTATCGGTTCTCATCGTGTTTCAGGTTGCTAGAAAAATGGCGGAAGAACACCGATGCCAGGCACCACGCTTGTGCGTCAACAATTGCGGTTTCTTTGGCAGCCCTGCCACGCAGAATCTGTGCTCGAAGTGTTACCGCGATTTGCAGCTCAATGAGCAGCAATCTTCTAACGCGAAGATGGTTCTGAATCAGTCTCTTGTTCTTCCGGCGCCTCCGGCGCCGGTTTCTGAACCGTCTTCTTCGAAGTCGGCGGATCCGGCTTCTGCTGTGGTTGAGGAAGTGCCACGCGCGACGGAAGAGGCTAAGGCGCCGCTGCAGAACCGCTGTATGACGTGCAGGCGGCGCGTGGGGTTGACGGGGTTCAAGTGCCGGTGCGGGATGATGCTTTGCGGGACGCACCGTTACCCTGAGCAGCACGCGTGCGAGTTCGACTTCAAGGGGATGGGGAGGGACCAGATCGCGAAGGCGAATCCGGTGGTGAAGGGCGAGAAGCTCGAGAAGATCTGAAATGGAAACGAACGACGAAGGGTGTTATGGTAATTTCGTGTTTATCAAGTTGGTGGTTGCCGATGTGGAATTCGGGTCGGATGATTGACCCGTGACGTGGGTGTCACGAACGGGCGCCCGTATTATTCGGTGGGTGAGTGGGTGGGTGGGTCATTGCTATGTGGTTGCGTTGTCATTGTAAATTAAATTTAAAAACATTTCAATTTCATTCACCTGGTTTGAAAGCGGTTTCTAATTCTTTTTATTTATCCTCCTAAATCAATTAATTTTAATCCCTTACATCAATAATTGAATTAAAAATAATAATTCTTTTGCAAACCCGTGGGCCGGTAGCTTTTCCTTCACGTTAGAAAAGTTGTAAGCGGTTCAATGTTAGGTGGGGTTCACCAAAATTATATTTTCATTAGTCAAGTTTATCGTAAGCAATAAATGCCCATTTTTGAACATTTTCGAAGCCCTTTATATCCTCCAAATCGCATCAATTTGTATATATTTTAAATGTTAATTTTTATATGTATAAATCCTCAACATAACTTATCCCATAATTTTTCATTAGATTAAGCTAAATTCTTCTGAAATGACCTTAATAAATACCATTTCCTAATAACTCTTTTTAAATCTCAATCTTAATGTATGATCACATGCTTTATTTTAATTTATTTTTTAGATAACAGAAACTTGAGTTTATTTTTTGAATAATAAATGCTATGAATTATTTATTTTTTGAATAATAATACCTATTTTGTCGTTGACGTGTAGTGAAAGTAAGTGCCAGCCACGCCCTTCTGTGGCGCACAAATCATAGCAAATTGGATCAATTTAACGCAATTAATGCTTTTTCTTAACTATTCTGAAAGAAAACTTTTCTTTTGTTCTATATGAAATATTTTTGCGGTAGATAGAGTGCCATGTTAAATATGATACAAAATTTAGTATTGAAATAAAAATATATATTATAAAAATACAACTGATTTCAACCTCTTATATTATATATTTTTTACAAGTTACTATAATATGGGTTATACTACTTTTTCAATTACCAACATTTTGTTATGGTTGTTTTGGTTTATTAAAAATTTGCTCGAAATCAGTGTTTTTTCACTGCATCATAAGAAGTTGCTTTTTTTATTATGGATAAATGGGATTAGGGTGTTTTTCATATTTAGCTTTTTGAAATTGTTAATTTTGAGTTACACTTCATATATAATTTTTTTATATAAATAAAACCTTTTTCCTTTTCTTGAATACTTAACAAATTGAAATACTGTTTCGACGTATACCATAAGCCAACAACTCAATGGACTGCTTATGTGTTAGACTAACGTACTACATAGAAAAGTAATGACGAATATCTAAACTTTGAATTTGTTAAGTATTTAAGACTAAAGAAATCCATTAACTACTTACATAAAAAACACACTAATGTATAAAAGACTCAAAACTTTCTTTTAACTATCACACGATCTATTTTCATTTAAAATTATTTCATCTTTAAAAATGAAATAACAAGATTTAAAACTTAATAAAAAATTAAATTTATTCTTCTTTATAGTAGCTTTCTATATATTGAACCTATGTAATAGATCCCCTATGTATTGTATAAGATGATCACCAAATAAAAAACACTAATTAACTCAAAATAATAATATTTAATCATACTTATATTTTTAACTTAAAATTCTAATATATATATATATATATAGGGGTTTGCTAACACGCGTACGCCTGTTTTTCAGTTGGTACATTTTAGCAATGTGTACCGGATTTTAGTAGACAAAAATACCATTATACATGGATTCTAAGTTTTAAGGTTAAGGGTATTTTAATAATTTTCATTCTCAAAACTTAAAAAAAAAAAAAGAAACCCCCTAAACCCTTACTCACCTTTCTCATTCCTCTCAATCCTTTCTCTTTCATCTCTCTCACTCCAACATTTTCTCTGTCATCCCTACTATAGCCCCAATTGAAAAAATCAGAAACACTTGTCTTTAAACAATTTTCCTTTGTAAAGAGTTGAGTCATTGACATATTCACCTTCAGGCAATTCACCATCTTCACTAACTTCTCTAATTTCATCATCTGCATATGTTGAATTATCATCTCTATAAAAACCCTCGAGGCCAATTATCAATTCTTTCGAATCTCATTATGCTTGTGAAAATTAGATAAAATTATATACGACAAAAATTATAAAATGAAAACTCGTTATAAAGTCATTTTTTGTAAGAAATTGTTTAACAACGAGTGTTTCTGATTTTTTCCAGGCCAATTACCAATTTCTTTGATGTCATTATGCTTGTAAAAATTAGATAAAATAAGATAAGACAAAAATTATAAAATAAAAACTCATTATAAAATCATTTTTTGTAAGAAATTGTTTAACCTCGAGTATTTCTGATTTTTTCCAGGTCAATTATCAATTCCTTTATGTTTCTGAAAATTGGATAAAAATGGATAAAAATGGATAAGACAAAAATTATAAGATGAAAACTCATTATAAAATCATTTTTTTTGTAAGATTGTTTAACGGCAATTGTTTCTGATTTTTATTATTATAAGTTTTTAATAATAAAACATTTAATTAAAAGATAAATCATATTATTTGATAAAAATAATGATAAAAATAGTTGTGAAGTGGATTTAAAATTATGTTATTAATTAGTTTAACAATCTGTTTTATAAAAACATTCTAATTTGACTTGTACATTATAACTTATCTTTCAATTTTAAACTAAATGCTTTTCGTTAAAAAATTAGCTTTCCTTCCTAAATTTTCAATCAACTTACAAATTAATTCTGTCAACCTCTCTCTCACATACATAATAATATATATAAATTAAATTTAATCTTTAATTTATCTTTTAGTCTATGTTTAATACATAAATTTCTAGTTTTATAAGAGAAAACAGCTAACTTTAATATATTGTTGAAAGCATCATCAAGTGTTTATACAGAACACTTTCCACAGTCTCAAAACAACAAATCTAGGCTTCTCAGAAACCAAGAAAGCCACATAGTATAGTTGATTTTAGTCATATATCAAGCTCACAACATCCTTAACACCCACGTTCATGGACTTTTCTTGTCCCCACAACACAATCATAGTAATTTCTTGATATTCCTATGATGAAATACTACGTCGATCTGCTATATATGGCTTCAGTGTGTCCATTCTTGCCACGTGTCCAACTACACTGACTTGTAATGCAGGTTGCTTATATTGTTTTGCCTGAACCTGCATTACTTACTCTTTTGTTCCTTTCTTTCTGTCATTTACTGCATATACATTGGTTGGTTGGGCTCATGAAGTCATAAACAGTATAACCCAACCTAATCTAATCTTCCAATAATCATACTGATTTTGTTTTCCCTTGATGTCTTAAAACAATTTTAATTATATCTTAAAATTATTATATAATTGGATAGGTTCAAAAGTCTTTCATAGCTGAGAAATTTATGTCAAGGACGATATCTTTCTTTGACACTTTGAGATGTTTTTTTTTTTAAAAAAGAAACTGTGATAAAAGTTGAAGACTTTAAATAACAAATTTTTATATGTGATAACTGATTCTGATTATATTATTCCAACAAATCTAATGGAAGAATACATAACATCTCCGTATGTATATTTTAGATTATTTAGACTAAATTTTTATATTTTTTAAAAAGAAAAGTAAAATGTGTGTTGATGTTCTGTAATGACTCTACAATTCTAGATTGACATGGCTGTGGACAATTCTGCAAGACGATTTTATATTTCTATGAAATTATCATGTTAATTTAAACTAATATTAATGTTTTAAACGTAACTCAAGAGGAAATATTAAAAGATATAAGAACATGTTACAAAATTTTTCATTCAAAAAATGACATTGATTACAAAGAGACATCCTTTTTAATTTTTTTTTTATAATTATTTTGGTTTTGGTGACTCATTATTTAGATCAACCTAAATGTTTTGTTTCCAAGTAAAAGAGAACATGGTGTGTAAATTAAAGAAGTTAAATATATGGATTAAAACAAGTTTATAGGGAATAGTATATAATCATCACGTTATATGGTTTTGTAGAAAATATTGTGATCAATGTAACTACATGAAGGTTAATAGGAACATGTTTGTAATTTTAGTCCTATATGTTGATATATTCTACTTGCTACTAATAATGTTGCCATGTTACATGATGTAAAGAATTTTCTTTCTAATAACTTTGAAATGAAAGATACAAGTGATACATTCTCTATCATATGAATAAAAATATTCCATGACAAATCACAAGAATTGTTTTTGATTGTCCTATAAATCATATATTAATAAGGTATTAGAGATTCAAAAGGAATAAAAACACTACAATAATAGTTTCAATTCAAAAAGAAAATAAATTTAATCAAATGCAATGTTCTAAGAATGATTTGAAACGAAAAGTCATAAAGCAAATTTCTTATGTATTAGTGGTTGAAAGTTTGATGTATGCTCAAACTTGTACTTATAATTAGTCTGATATCTAACGTTTTATAATAAAATAATTGTAAATTTTTAATGTTAAAAAAATTGTAAATTTATCTTTTAACATGCTAATTAACTCATTTTAGCAAACAAAATTGTTGATTTTAGATAAAATTTAAACAATTTTAATTAAAAATCATATAATGTTAATAATTGTCTATGAACATATTTGTGAAAAGATAATAGTTTTAATATCTATTATATATATATATATATATATATATATATATATATAAAAGGAGGATTACTTTTTTTATGTCCACTTTTGTTTTTCAATTTTATCCTTTCAATAAATGTTTTTTTAAATTAAAATTATTATTTATTAATTTTACTTTTTAAATAACTATTTTTCTAAAATTTAACTATTTTATTTTAATTCGATCGCTTTTTAAAACTTAACCATTTTTTAATTATAAAGCTATTTATTTACAAAATAAATAAAAAATGCTCCAATAAATTTATAAAAATTATTTATCTTTAACTTTATAACTATAATAATAAGAATAATCTACACTTGTATATAAAAAGGATTATTCTTCTTTGTGTCTACATTTGTTTTTTTAATTTTATTCTTTAAATAAAAGTTTTTTTAAACTAAAATAGTTGTTTTATTAATTTTATTCTTTAAAGGACTTTTTTTTTTTTAAATTTAACCATTTATTTTTGTTTAACATTTTTTAAAATGAACTACTTTTTAATTATAAAACTACTTATACAATAAATAAAAATTATTTACAATAAATTCATAAAAATTACTTTTATTTAAATTTATAATTATAATAATAACAATAATAATTTTATTATCTTTTATTACCATGAGAAAGACTAAACACACATGTACATAGTGTTTGTGTTTTCACTAATAATTTATAAAATGATTGAAGTGTTACATTATACATTTACATTTTACCTTTCTCTCAATAAATATTATTCTAAAAAATAAATTAAGACCCTCGATCATTTAATATTAAATGTTTTTAATATTTGTAATATTTTTCTTTAGTTTATTCTCACATTAAATTATTTATATTTTAATAAAACAATTTCACATGTTATATTTCCACTAGTCTTATACAGTTTAAAAGAAATTATTCGTTGTTTTAATAAGATATTTTACAACTTCTGTATAACTTTACATTTGTTTTCCTTTACCTCTATCAAATATTATAAGTATATATATGTGTTTTGCATTAATGAGCGATGAAAACAAAATTTTAAAAGAATATTAATTTCGTACATCGATAATTTTTTTAAAATTTTATTAGTATTTGTGGTTACATTAGAAGTTACATTGTCCAAATAACCTCAATAAAAGAAAAAATTTATTATATTATTTACAAAAAAAATACACAGCAAACAATGGTGTTCTGTCACAATAAATTTAAAGCAAATGTATTAAGTTCCCAAACTAGTTATTTACAATATTAAAGCACAACAAAGACATTCAATTGATATTAAACCCATTGAAGTTTGTATTTTCAACGAGCAATAACAAGTACTTTGACCATGCACTCTCATGACCCTTTCAAAAGTTGTTTATATAAACAAATTTTCAGTATTATTTTCAAACTTGATTTCCATAAGCCATCAACTGTATATAATGTATTTTGGACTTTTTGAGAGTTCTTGTTAGAAAAAAGTTACAAAATTCCTTCGTCTTCCAAAATTACATGTTGAATTTGAATTAACCAAACACAAGGATATGCTTTGTGGAATTTTGGTTCATCTATCCCTCTAGCTGGGTTTATTTACATTTTGCACATGTTTCTATACTACCATCAATAATTCTATAGTGTTTAAAATTCAAAATCAAACGCAATTTAAATAATAATTTTCCTTCTATCTTTAAAGATATTTTTTAAAGACAAAATAATGATAGAGTTTTACATACTTAACAGAACTGCAATAGAATACTATATAATTAAATTTTTACTAAATGTTTTATTTCTTATGTTTTAAACTATATTGTTACATTAAGTTTCTTTTTTACACTTTTCAACATAATTAAATTGTGTAATAAAACACTAATTTCTTTAATCTATAATATTAAATAGTTTTTAATTTGAACCAAATTAAAAATACCATCTCTTGTCAGCTCTAAACTTAAAATAGAGATTTATTTATTTATTTATTAAAGAAACTAGTTTATAAATGAGTAAGATAGAATCAATTGGTTTTATATATCAAACACATTCACATTATGAAATTGGGATGGAATATTGCATGAATGATATTAAGTTGATCTGATGTAGTTTTTGAGTGTGAAAGGGAAGTGGTAGATTTTGGCTAAATTGGTGAAGTTAAAGATGGTGGTTTTGTGATCTTTCTACCTCGAACGTTTTACCCGACAAACCATGGTGGAGGTCCCTTATCTTAAAAAAAAAACCAAACACAACCTCCCATTTTCCCTACCACTTTTCTGCTTTCCTCAATCCTACCTCAAAAGAATCCAAATCCCAAACCCTTTTATAAATTTACTCTCTTTCTCTTTCTTTTTCTTCCTCACGTGTATTAAGGATCACCATGTCTTCTGTGAGAAAAAAAGAGCCTCTTCTAACACCATACCCTTCTCCTTTTCAAAACACACTTGCGTAATTAAACACCACATTTTGATTTTGGATGCTTTTTCGTACCAGATCATCCAAGTATGCGACAAAAGAAATCAAGTTCAGTACTTCCAATTTTATATTCACCAATTGATGTCGAGCTTCTACCTACTTGATATTGACTTATTAATTTGGTGAGGTTATTAAAGAGAGATTTATATATTTTCAAAATATATAAATAAGTATAAATTTCATTTTGAATAAGATTTTTAAAATTCACTTTTCAAGTAATATCAGAATCATTCGATGTTTATTTCTCACGATGTATAAGTCTGGTGCATTGGTATAGGAAGAGTGTCGAAGATTTCGTATTAATTAGAAACAAATGTACAATATACAATTTCTAAGGTTAAACAACATTTAAAAGGGAAAAAGAAAACCTAGTTGCATATATACTGTATGAGTATCTATCTGATCGCAGAGTTTTCACATTGAGCAAGTAAATTTGCGGCCGAAATCTTAATTATTCACTGTTCAGTCAATTATGTTACCATTGATAAGCTTTTTAGTGTCTTTTTTTCTTTCTCTTTTCTGTCATGAACTTTTATAAGGATAAATGACAGCTTTCTATATGTGCAGTTTTCGTTGTTCCTCACACGAGGGGTCAATTAATAATCATATTCGTAAAAGTAGCAAGGATTGTGAAAATCCTTTGCAGACGCTAATATCTTCTGCTTAATAATTACAAATGATTCTATATATCCTCTTTTCCTGTTCCTGAATACTGATTTTAAGGACACCATAACATAAGTAAACTCAAACCAATATATTATTGTTACAAATAGGATGTCATATATCAAAAGACTGTTCAAAGATTTCAACGACATATAGAAGTTCTAGATATAATTAAGGTTACCTTATTGTAACGAAGAATATAATTTTTCTCCATTGAAAAGATATGAAACCTTGGTGTAGCACCTGTTTCTGCAGCTATCAGAAAAAATCATATGCTTCATCACTTGAAGAACCATAATCTTTATTAATTAACAACAAAGCAAACTAATGCATGCACAACATCACACCCTGCAAGTGCTCGGTAGCAAACCGCTCCCTAATATTCCTCAGTAATTTCGAGAATTTTTTGTTACTGAGCACAAGGGCATGCAGCAGTGACATCTGCTACACTTAGTACTACTTATAAATAAACCTATTTATACAGAAATTGTCTAACTTATTTCAAGTGAAAATGAACATAAGCCATCTTATCATATACATAATTGGTGCAATTCTCTTAGTATACATGGATGAATTGCACCGATCATGAGATTGTTCAGTTTCATTTTTCCTTGAGTTAATTTAGACAAAACCTATATATTTCACATATATATAGCATGTTACATTACATATCATATCATGTATGAGCAACTTCATCTTCATCAGATCCAGTAAAGCATTCTTTCTCATCCTCAACGAAGCCTTCATGGGAAGGATGTGGGGAGTGGCCTTTTCCAAAGGATCTAATATGGTCTTTTAGGGATCTTTTGTGCTTAAAATCTGAACCACAAGTGCAATACCACAACTTTCCGCAGTTCTTTTCGTGAGTCCTCCAGTCTCCTTTAACTGCAAAGGATTTTGAACACTTTCGGCACATAAATGGTTTTGCACCATGCTTTCTTTTGTAGTGGGTTTGGAGAGTTCTGAAGTCCTTCAAGGGCTTGGCTCTTGGATGATTGATGTTGTTCTTGCAACCCTGGGCACAACAGTAACATGGCAGCCTTAGCATTGCTGCTGGTTGTGTTCCTCTAAGCGAGTCTGGTCCTTTTCTAAATTCGGATCCGTGCCCCCACATATGCATCTGCAAATTGTTAAGGATTTTGTTAAATTCATCATAATATGGTTAACAGTATGATAAAGAACATCCTTAACACAGATGTTTCAATTTTTAAGACAGAATTGATGATATATTAACTACATGACTGAAGTAGTGTATATTTTAAATAATGAAATGATGAAAACAATGTGATTAGCATGAATTTTTTTCTTATTAAAACTAGTCACTTCAATTTTTTGATGAAAATTTTCATTTAGTATTGTTGGAGGCATTTTACACAGATAAATTTATGGGTCAAATTTAAGATAAGATATGAGTGAAGAGAAGGAAAAAAAAATATGTATATAGCAACGTTAAGACAAAAGAAAAAATCATTAAAAAAAGAAGGAATATATAATAAATGTTTTCTAACCTGTGAAGTCAGGTTTTTTGTTTCATACTTCTTTGGTTTAATATCAATTGTGCTGGAGACTTAACCTGGCACACTTGTTTACTTATTTAAATTTTCATAGTACAAGACTACTTTAACCGTCCTTTATGGATGAGTTTGTTGTACATATTCATTTTGTAAATGATCCCAAAAACTTGCATCAAATTAGGCTCATCAAATTATAATCCTTAATTAAGCATGCTTATGTGGGATCCAAATCATCTGTCCTCCTTTTCTTTGTATTGTTTTCTGCCTCTTTGAGTAATTAAAAGCTAGCATGTAAATAAACAAACTAGAAACAAAAAAGAAAATATACTTTCTAATAAATAAATAAAAATTGCTTTTTAATTTGAAAGACAAAAGAATGGAGAACAAATGATTTCCATCCACTAATATAACCTACCAATGTTGGCCTTTATATGGACAAGCAGTGGCCATTGTCATTAATTAGTTGTTAACTCATTTTTCAAATAAAGGAAAAATCAAAAAGAAAAAAGAAAAGTGATTTTTAGTAATCTAATTAATAGAGATGCATATATATATATATATATATATATATATATATATATATATATATATATATATATATATATATATAATGCCTCTTTAAGAATGGAAGATCATGTGCCTTCTCTTCCCTTAATAATTTTTTTTTAAAAGTCATAGTTCTTGTTCAAAAGAATTTGCCATGGTAGAAATTGTGCTACACTGCATGCATGCCTCAAACACCTACGACTAGTTCCTATGGTAGCTGTATATAGTGATGAGGTTTTAAACCCAAAAGGACAAACATGCACATATGGAAAGAGAAAAGAAAAAAAGGAGAAAAGCATGAAGATATGGAAGTTCAATTTCCCTTTGAAATCCTATGGTTTAAAAGGAGCCTTTTGCTAAAAGTTGAAGATGGTGGTGATGGCGGGGCAATAGGCCATAGCTCAAATTTGTTAAAGTGAAAAAGAAAGCAAAAGGAAAAGACAGTCATTAACAGTCATGTTTATATAGCCATAAAAGTTCATTTGAATGATTGTTTTCATCTTGATGATTATTCTTCATCATCATCATTATCATGAAAAACTCCTACTTCAGGTAGGCTTGGATAGGGTATTCAAATTCTGAGTAGAGATCGATGCACACCAGGAAATTACTGCAAAATTCCCTTAATTAAATTGGGCACTGATATTTGTCCTCAAGATATAGTTTTTAGAGGAATACTATCAGATTGAAATTGAAAACATATTCATTCACATACTAATTATGATATCATAGAATTTAGTTGCTAGTACTGCTTGCTAACAACGAAATTATTTTGTTTTAAAACCTATCCTTCCCCAGAATGTCTATTCTGATGCTGTGATTATTCTGCAGAAAACTGATACATACACAACTTTTCAATTTTTTATTATTATAAATCTCAAACGGTACAACGTTCCAAAAGAGCTGTTCTTTCAGATACAATACAAAAACAAAAGATTCCATTTCCCAACTTACTGTTGAACCGGTGTTAGATTCTATTTTGTTATGGTACTAAGATGGAGACGAAATTGAAGTGTAAACTATGTGGTAGGTTATGAGCAGTAATGAGATAATTAATTAATTCTAAGTTCCCACACTCTATTTGAAAGCTAGATCCTTGCATACTTCGTAGTTTTAATTAGGTGTTTGTTTAGAAACAAGTTAATTAATTTATGTGGAAGTAATAGAAAATCTGTGTGTTGTTTACAGCAAAAGATGAGAAGCAACTAACCTGCATATTGTTATATCTATTGAAGGTCTTGCTGCATATGGAGCAAGCAAACTGCATCGGTCCGACAAGGATCTGTGCAGGAGTTGGTATCCAAAATCTTCTCTCCTGGTTAAAAGAACAACCCTGGAAGCTTTTCTTCAAGGGTTCTTCTTCCTTTACATGGATAATCTTCTTTTCATGATTATCAGTGTCAGGGTCTACTGTGTGAGGCAATCCAATGTGCAAAGCCACAGTCACCTGTTCCACCTTCTCTTCTTTCACTTCTAAACCATCTTTTTCATGGTCTTCCTTGAAGGGCAAAAACTGGATCGTTTCTTGGGAAAGTTGATCATGCTGAGCCAAGGAAGAAGGTGGTGATGATATTGAACTTATTACAGAAGAAGAAGATGGTTTGAGCCACTCGATGAAAGTTGGGGTTTGAAGACACAGATTCTCGTTTTCTACATTGCACTCCCTAAAACTCATGTTCCTCAAAGAGACTCCAAGGAATTGTGAAATTCTCTACTCAGAAAAAGGCCTATATCCAGACTTTATGAAAGAAAGCCTGCACTTATTGATCAATGAAATCAAGCTTTCTTTTCTCTTGCCTTTGAGGATTTTTTCTTTCTCTTCCTTTATTTTTTTTTTCACCCTTACTTTTTCTCTTTCTCCTCTGTTGGCCTTTGTTTGTTTCTTTTTGGTGAGAGAAAAAGGGAGACTAATTGGTGGGGATAGAAAATGACATGCAAAACAGGAACGGCCAATTTAGTAGAAAAGAATCTTAGAACAGTATGAACTCTGAGCTGAACTACTACTTGGTAATTGGTACAATGTGAAGCGAACGAGTTCATCCTTTTATATTCTCTTTCTAACATACAATGGAATTTGACTCACGTGCCCACATTTTCTCACACATTGACCTTAAGCAAATGATTTCAAATAAGAGGATGAAAACAGATATAGACGCATTAGGTCAATACCTAAACTGAGAAAAAGTATTAGAAATGACGAACAATGTTACGAGGACCTAGACAGTATGTTATGTAGTGTTTTATAATATATGTGCCGTGTAAACCAACAACAGCAACAATAGTACGTGTCATGTTGGTTAAGTTTCATACATCAATGATTAAAAACGAATATAATTCAGGCTTAATTGTTGGTGTTGATCATGACTGCTACAAGTATATGCTAATTTAAATAACTGAGTACGATATTTAATCCAAATTATTTCTTATTAATTATATTTGCCTCATCATTCTTAATTTATTCTATATCTATCTAATTAGTTGAGTTTTGTTCAAGAATGAAAAGAAAAGTTCTGGGGAAGGTTAGTTTCAAAGCTTCTCCCTCTTAAAAAACCAAGCTTTGTTGCTTATATTAATAGGACCCCAACTTAATCCTCTGGAAAATACAATTATAATAACTTATTCCTTAAATTTTATAATTAACTAATTATATATAATACTAATATGTATTCAATATCTTAAAAACAATGATAGATTGACACATTTCACATGATTTTTATAATAGAAAAATAAAAGTAATGTATCAAGTGTATCACAGTATATTTTTCCATAACTTAAACTTGTGTTACACAAATCTTATCCAACAAAAGATCTTTATCAGACAAATGCCACGTTCAAATATTTATTTTCTCTGAAAATATAAATAAAGTTTAATAAACTCTCTCTCTCTCTCTCTCTCTCTCTCTCTCTATATATATATATATATATATATATATAAACTAATTTCATCTTCTTTATCACTCTCTTGATATAATTTATGATGATCGCAGCATGACTATATTCTGAAGTATTTTACCAACATTTGATTATGAAAAAAAAAGGTAATTGTGAAGAAAGAATGGTATAAAAAGTGAGACATGCTGTTCTGCAAATTAAGCAGTATAGTACTGAGGATTTTGAAGCGTAAGCTGAACTGATCAGTGATGAAGTCTGAAGAGCATAATGGTTCTCACCGACAAAACACTATCATCACTTTCTTAAACGACAAATGCTTTCACAGGCTTTCTTAGCAGTTACTATCATTCTTTGACTTTCACTTATTTACTATATGGATGCATGTGTTGTCTATACATGAATATATGATCATAATATCTATGTATGACCATGTATCTTCTATAAGTTTTTCTATTAATTTTCTTCCCTTGGAAAATGCAACTTTCTCTGAAGAAATTATCTGAACTGAGGTAACTTTCCCTAGCTGAGATCAGAAAATTACTATAACCCTAAAACAGTTCATTCTTGTAACAAGTTAACCACACTTGGTTACAAGCTTCACGCCACCGAGATATATGTGATCATTCTAAGTCATTTTATTATTCTGTCGAGATTGATCACCACATTTAACTGAAACTGTAACACCCTTTTGTTCAGTTGTTGTTCGAACCTTAACCTTTCTCCGTGTTTGATAGCGAACCGGTCCAAAATCTGAGTCGAAGTACATTCACGTACCAATTGATTACAATAGTTTAAGAAAGTTTATATAGATGTATATGATCGTAGCTAGGTGGTAAATTCAATGAATCATTCACTGAATAATCCTTGAAAATGGGTATCATGAATCAGAAAGATTAACCTGCATCAATCAAAATCTGAGTGGTTTGTCTTGTTTATATGTATGTTTGTATTATTGTCCCACGAGAGATGATACTGATATACATAAAAGTGTCCTTTGCACAAGATCAATCGTTTGAAGATGTTTTTGTTAATTGACAATGTAACTGCTAGTCACTAATTAGCGGCAAGAAATGAATTAGTGGTCTTGTCTAATTGTCCTGGTCTTGTAATGTTGAAAGAAATTCTGAGTTGGTATGTTAATGTGAGGATTTTGACAATTGAAAGGTAGTGTTGGATTTGTACACATGTATACTACTGCTAGCCACGGTAGTAGGTTACCTTGAGACCCCTTTTCTTTTTGGCTTCATGTCACACTCATACCTTCCTGTGACCACTCTTTCGGGTAATTTAAAAGTTACTTAAGCATTTTTTAAAGTAATGTCATATTTATTCAAAACGTTTTACATAATATAGATATAGAGAAAGAATCCAATTATACTGTATAAATAAATCTTGTGGTAGGGAACTAGGAAGTGCATATTAGAATTTTTTAAAGTACAACAAATTAAGGTAGTATTCCATTTAGGTATAAGTAAGTTCCAAGTTTCTACCACTCTAGCTATTTTTATTAATTTTTGTTTGTTTATTGTACTCAACGTTGTATGATAATCTTGTTATATTGAATATATTTTTAATTTAAAGAATGAAAGTCATTTGTCATTTTATATGAATCAAAATCTTGTTTTATATTAATTGCAAAACTTTACATGCATGTGAATATAAGTAAGGAAAATGATAGATAAAATAATAACTATCACTAATAAAAATATTAAGGAACAAAAACACTATTGAAAAAAATATTAAACTTTGATTAACCAATGAACAAAACAATTTAATGAAAAGTTTCTTAAAAATACAAAAAATGGTTACTGGTAAAAAAATTTATTTAAATTTTGGGTTTATTTACAACTTATATAAAGTGCTGTTATAAATTAGACTTTTCAAGGTAGATTCATATTTATGAGGATTTTTAGTTTGCCTTTATCAATCTTATCAAAATTCTTGTATTTTACTGAATTTTCGTCCTGCCTTTGATCAATTAGTGGACTCTTCTTTATTCTTTTATATAAATTCTTTCTATTTTCATTGAGATGTGATGCTAGACATTGATATAGTATAATCTCTTTCTTTCAATTTTATATACACTCTAAAATTGAACTACTAGACAAATACTCATCTTTAATAATACTCGTTTAAGATATTATTCAAACTTGAAAACATACACGACAAGATGTTCATGCATGCACGATCACTATAGTTTTTAAATCCAAATGTTGACATAATTTTGAATCATTCCTTAAATTTATAAAATATTTTCAAATTTTATAAATTTTTATAAAGTTCTTTTAATTTTGATAAAACCCATTAAATTTAAACTACATAATCTTTATTGTAAAATTTCTTTTTAAAAAGAACTTATAAATCATGTATTTTTGTCGTATTTTTTTTTATATTGATGACTTTTATTTTATAATAGTCTTTAAAACCTAAATCCACTATTCTTAACTTTAATAACTAATCATAAGTTATTTAAATAAAAGATAATTACCAAGTATGAGACTGTAATCTAACTTGACTAATAGTCTTTCATTTAATAATATCTCCATATACAATTATGCTAAGCCGGTGGAAAAACTATTTTTTTTATTTATATTATATATAATTAAATTTTATCTGTACTCATATTTTTATGATACTAAAATTATTCTTACTAAAAAAAGAGGTAAATCTCTTGAGGTAGAGAGAGTATATACGTAAAGATAATGTAGAAGTGTTCGAGTAAATAAAAACACATGAAAACTTATGAATACAAGAGTGAGATAAATTTGCCTTTATAGGTTTTTTTTACCTTTAAATAAAAATTGAAAAAATAATCAAAATAGATGAGATATAATTAGTTATTAAATAAATGCTGTGACGGATGTTGAATAATTAAAAAAAAATTAAAATAGATATACTAAAATTTTGAAAATATGAAATATATAAAATATGCTAAAATTAAAAGGAAATTATTTATATATTTTTTACATGTTTGAAAAAAAGATTGGGTAGCCAAAACCTTCCTCGTAATACACTAAGCTCCACCACGGAGTAGCTACATATATCATAATTAGTTATCATCTATATTTATTAGAAAGTAAATTGTTTCATTAAAGGATTACACTTGTCAAATAATATATTTATTACTAAACTTTAATAAGATGTAATCATTATGGTATATAAGAAAAATAAAAAGAAAAAAAGGAAGATAGGTATTAAATGTTCACAAAGATTTGTAATTCTAGAGCAAAAATGTATAAGGGAGTGGAGAACAAACCCCTGATCATAATTATGTATTAAATCTTTTGTCTTATTGTATTGTAAAATATGTGCAACAATTAAAAATGATTCCAGATAACTAAAAGGATATATCTTCAATTATTTTGAAAATTAATTAACAATGATAAAGTACTTTTAATTATACTAATTATAAATGAAAGATTATTACGTGTACCTTTTTATATCATTATTGGGTATCGAAGATAAGCAGGTTACATATGGCATTCAATTTGGTTTCCTCTCCATAATTACCTTTTTTTAAAAGAATATATTGCTTCGCTTTGAAAATTTGTTCCTTCTCATTTTTTATATATTCTTGCAAATATAAAATATAAGTGTCACAGTTACTGATTATACTAGGAAGATAATCGATTGATGAGAGACAACTAACGCAGGTATGCATGAACCTCATAGAGTGTCATTTCGATTTCATTTACTTAACTCTTTTAATAAAGAAAAATTATTTGAATTCTCCAATTACAACTAGAGTGTGTTCGAAGTACTAACATATGGAATAAAAATAAGATAAGTTTATATTATACAAGTGATTACAAATTTTATTTTAAAAGTTAGATATATAAAATTAAGTTAGTTTTGAAATCTATTTTTTAACATAATATTAAAATAATAAGTTA